TCGCTGCCTCTTAAATTAAAACGAATACTGTAGAATTTTAAAATTTACCCTGGGAAGGTTTTTTTTTTATTCCAAATAACATTATTTCAGTTATCTTTAATAAAACCTACAATTTTTCTGAAGGTCCTTAGTTACTCTGAAATAAGCACAAAGTCATTAATATGTCAGTCTAGTGTAAAGATATTCATATTCAAACAAAAGGATTAAAGTAGTGTTGGTCACACATTTAAATGTAACATGTTCATTAAATATGAGCTTACTAAAGGCTTGGTGCACAAAATTGGTGCACAGGTAGGGTTCCTAGGCCTGGCTGGCAATCAGGGCCTAACTGTGGGGTGACCGGTAGTATGATCAGGGGGCCCCTGCTGGCACCCATCTTGGCTGGCACCATCTGGGGCCTGTGGGCTGGGGTAGCTCCTGCATTGAGCATCTGCCTCCTGGTGGTCAGTGGATGCCATAGAGACTGGTCATTCCACCATTCAGTCAATTTGCATATTAGGCTTTTATTATATGGGCTATATTATTGATTTCAGAGAGGAAAGGAGAGGGCGAGAGAGATAGAAGCATTAATGATTAGAGGGAATCATTGATTGGCTTCCTCCTGTATGCCCTCCACTGGGTGAAGGAGCCCACAACCATGTGTCCTGAGCAGAATCGAACCCTGACCTCCTGGTTCATAGGTTGACACTCAACCACTGAGCATCACCAGCTGGGCTGTCTCTGCTTTTATGTAAAATTTTATTGTAAACAAACTACAACTTTCATTGGGTTGAGAATTACCTTGTGAGTTTTTCTAGGGTTTAGTGAGTCACATTTTTGGACAAGATAAAATTAAATAGTATTTATTTCTGCATTTTATCACATATTTTCAAACATACACACTTAAATGAGCATTGTTCCCTTTAAAGGCATAATATTAGTGAGCTACATAGAAATCTCAATAATGCAACTGTTACTGACACATATTTGTTTACCCACAGAGGCTATATCACACTCTTTTAATATGTTCAGTGACAGCAGATCTTCCTTTGAGAGTGAGAGCAATATTTAAAAACAAACCTATCTATGAACAAAGATCGAATATTAAGTCACAAATCAAGTGGGGTGATCAAAAAGCTAGAGGTTACTAAAATATTTATGCTCCTTTTGATTTATACACCTCTTTATCCACCATAAAAGAGTCACAAAATGTTTTCAGCAATGATGCCTGGAATAAGTATAAACCCTCCTAAGGTGACTACCAGAAAGGGTAATTTTCATTTGAATAAACTCATTCTAGCGTGCTCACTAAAATAAATAATTATGTGAGTAGCTTAATTTGTTTGCAGTCACTTTTTATTTTCTAGTTATTTTCACAGTTGACACTTCATGAATTTTTTAAGTGTGAAATAACAGTATATTAAATCAGTAATGTAATCGCTTAGTTATCTATAACTTCTTCGAAAATGACTCCGATTTTTATTTTTATTTTCTCCTTTGGGTCAATGAATTAATTTTCTATCAATATTTTTCACACCAGAATGTATTATAGACCAATAAAAGATCTATGCTCAGCAGTGTGGAGGATACAAATCTTGCTGATGCTTGTATACTCAGGGACTTACACAGTGCTTGGCCCCCAAGTAACTATTTACCAGCAGACATTTAGTAAATACTAGTTCATATATGAATGAATAAATGATATGAAATTAACCATCTAATTGTTGTATATAATAGGAATCATATATAATTAAATTGTGTGTATATTATTATTTCTGTTACTCATGTATACAATATTATTCTTGTTACGTATACATTATTGGCCCAAACTTAGAGGCTTACATCATCAACAGTTACTAATATTGTTCCCAAATCTACAGGTTGGACAGGGCTCAGTGGGAATAGCTTTTCTAGTTGACTACTTCATGCAGTGTCAGCTGGTCTGGTATGAAATCCAGGTGGACTGGAGGGCTGGAGTGTGGAATCCCCTGAAGATTCACTCATTCACATGTGTAGAGGTGCGACTGGCTGTTGGCTGGGATCCCAGCTCAGAGATAACTTCTGGAAACTGTTGGGGTTGCTGACAGCATATTGTTTAGGTTCCAAGAGCTAGCATCCAAGTATTCTAGCAAAGTGGATGGCGGGTTTATGACCTAGTCCTGAAGGTCACATGAATCACTTCTGTTATTCTCTATTGCTTAAGGCAGTCGCAAAGATCAGTGTGAATTCCGGGGCAGGGGCTGTAGAAGCCACCTTGTGTTGGGAGGAATGTTAAGGTCACACTGGAAGAAGAGCATGTGGGGTGGGTTATACTGCAGTAGCCAGTTTCTGAAGATATAACCTGCCATACTTAATATACAGTTTTATTTATAAACTGTATTTCTATTCAGTAAACATTTGTTGGTCATTTTCTCCCCTCTGTTTCTGCTCATCCTTTGTTTTCTCTCTCTCTCTCTTTTTTTTTTTTTTTTAATATATTTTATTGATTTTTTACAGAGAGGAAGAGAAAGGGATAGAGAGTAAGAAACATCAATGAGAGAGAAACATTGATCAGCTGCCTCTTGCACACCCCCTACTGGGGATGTGCCCCAAACCAAGGTACATGCCCTTGATGCCTTTGACGGGAATCGAGCCTGGGACCTTTCAGTTGGCAGGCCGACGCTCTATCCACTGAGCCAAACCGGTTTCTGCTCATCCTCTATTCTCTTAAATAGGCTCCTCTGGTCTCCCAAACTTCTCCTCACATCCATTCAAAGCTTAGACCAAGGCTTACTTCTTCATTAACTGTTTGCCCTCTTCTCCCTCCCTCCTCCTTTCCTCCCTCCTTTCCTTTCTTTCCTTTATTCTTTCTTCCCCCTCCCTCTCTCTCCCTCTTTTCCCCTCCTCTCCCTCCATCTACCTTGCTCTCTCTCACCTGAAAACAGTTATGCTTATCTCTACTCATTTTGTCACTAAATATTTACTACTAGAGGCAAAATTTGTACACTTGGGAGGAGGTGTCCCTCAGCCCAGCCTGTGCCCTCTCACAGTCCAGGAGCCCTCGGGGGATTTCCAAGGGCGGGGGGGGGGGGGGGGGGGGAAGGGGGGGCAGGCCTAAGCTGGCAGTCAGTTCTTAGTGCTGCTGTGAAGGCAGGAGAGGCTATCATCCCCGCCATTGCGCTCACCAGCCTTGAGCCCAGCTTCTGACTGAGCAGTGCTCCCCCTGTGAGAGCACACTGACCACCAAGGGGAAGCTCCTGTGTTAAGTGTCTTCCCCCTAGTGGTCAGTGAGCATCATAGTGATTGGTTGTTCCACTTTTCTGTCGATTTGCATACTGGCCTTTTATTATATAAAATTAGTGGATGATTATCTTTTAAAAAATGTATATATTCTTTCTTACCCAGAAGAATTTCTTCTCATCTAAAATATACTCTTTCCGAAACCAGTTTGGCTCATTGGTAGAGCCTGCGAACTGAAAGGTCCCAGGTTCGGTTCCTGTCAAGAGCATGTGCCTTGGTTGTGGGCACATCCCCAATGTGGGGTGTGCAGGAGGCAGCTGATAGATGTATCTAGCTTTCTATCCCCCTTTCTTCCTCTCTGTGAAAAATCAATAAAATATATTAAAAAAATAAAATAAATAAAATATGCTCTTTGTCACTAAACATAAATGAATGTAATCTGAAGTTGAGTTAAAAGTGGAAAATGCCATGCTGTTTGTCAATCTATATTATAAGATTTAAAAATAGAAATTGTCTATCCTGAAATTTGATTCTGATATGAAACAAATGATGACAAATTATTTGCCAAATTGCGTATGGCAAGTTTGAGGTGCATACTGAGATAGTGTGTGTTTTTTCTCCTGAAGAGACTGCAAATCAAATAAATTAAAAAATGAAACTAAAATAACTATATATTTCATTAAATCCATAGCTTTTCATGAGATATTAAAGTAATTTTGCATGAGTATTATTGAAATAGTAAATATATTTAATTTAGTTTTTCAAATAAATTTCACGATTTTAATTAATGCAAAAAATTTAATCTGGGGTTAAAGGAAGGGGGAGACAAACTTAAAATAGGTCATAGAGAAATTATGTATAATTAATTGCTTTATAGAAATTATGTATAATTAATTGCTTTTATAGAAAAAATAATCAATTTGTTTATTGTATGTGGAATTATTGAGAAATACTCTTATGGAGTCATTGAGAAATCATGTCTTATGTGGACCTTCTGTCATATCCTAGCACCTGGTAAACATACCATGTGAAAGGTGCACAATAAAAGATTTTGCAGGAAAAATATAATGCCTTTGGTAATTTAAAAAAGCTGATTTATTCTTTAGCTTTATAGTGGTCTCAATATTCTTGGTTTTATAGTCCAGAATAGTTTGGAACTATTTTCAAAGTTTAGGATTTGTTTTCTGAATTCAGGAATCATATAGAGATTACTCCTTCATTTGTGCTCTTAAAGTCTTTCCTAGATATTTCTACTATAATAGTGATCACATATCAGATTATATTGTGCTGTATCATATACTCTCTACTTATTTTTACACATATTTTCCTCAAAACCTTAGATTGCAAGCAACTCAAGGTAAATTTGCCCTAAATTTTGTACTTCTAGAACAAAATAGTTTTTCCTAAAATTTGATTCTGTGTGGTAGAAGCTGCTCATTGACTTTTTAGTGAATGAGAATGTGAATCAAGTATACACTTTTGCACAGTTTTCTTTAATAAAGTAAGTCATTCCATCACACTAATGTTAACATGACAGAACTTATGAAACCACTCCACCTATTCACATAACATATTGAACTTAATATCAGAACAGATACATTTTCAACATACTCTGTAGAAATTTGTGTATTACCTTTGTGTATATTGTGGTGTTCTATTTCTTCTTTTAAACAGATGAATAACTTTAAATAGAAGTATGTCCTTTTTTATTGAAGTAGCAAAAATTCCTTAGGAGATTTGACCACATTTCTCACATCTGCTGTTAGTCTCCTTCAGCCTCTTTTATCACATTATCACTCCTTCTAGAAACGGGAAGGAGCAGGCCATACCACCTCAGTATCGAAAGTGATGTGAATAGGTCTATTATACATGTTTATGAAAATTTCTGGCTCCAAGAATTCTTCAGATTTGTATAAATACTTAATTATTTGTTCTGGGAGGAGTAATTCAGGTGCAGGTTGGTATAAGTTCTCGCTGGGTCCCTTTGCGCCCACTTTAAGAGTCTTAAAAAAGTAGAGTGCTAGTTTATGAGTTTGGGTGAGGAACTCTGTGACGATCTCTCTCAGGGACTGTGACTGTGTCACATCATCCAGATACATGACTGGCACTTTTATGACTATAACATGCCATTGCATGAAGATCCTGGTTGGGATGTTATGGGACACCACTACAATTTTCATTCCTTTGATAAAATATTCTCCTCTCTTCTTTTTATGGTTAATGTAATCTAAAAGAATGCTGTAAAGAGTACTGCTGGAGGATTCAAGGATATGCAGAATGAAAGTACGATATATGAGCAGTAATCCTGTTACTGCTTCGCTTACGTACTGTTTTGAAATTGTCTGAAACAAATGTTCATAGTAATCAGTAACATCTTTTTTTTCTATGTTCTCTTTTGTCTTGGCCACTAGGAACATCCTATCAAGAAGGAATTTCTTTAGCTGGAGTTTTTGCTTTTCTTCCAGAACATGCAAGTAATTGTTTCGTAGAACTTGTGGGGGCATAATATGTTCCACTGGAAAAGGTCTTTTGCTGCTCTTTTGGGTATGGCCTGAGAAGGACATGATGAGTCCTAATTATTTTTCTAGATGATTCTGATTTTTAGCTTATTTCAATATTTACATCATCAGGGTATATCTTCAGTGATGAACTCCTATTTTTATTCTGACAAAAAGAAAAATAGTTTACTCAGTTTGTCAAATACTACTGAATAGCAAAATCCCTTCCCAGTGTTATCAATTAAACAATGCCCTGGAAATGAAAAAGAATATTAAAACTAGACTTAAAGTGTAGAGATTTTTTTTAAAAAAAAGTTTACAGTTACATAACTAACACTTGCATTCTAAGAAAAACTCTGCAATAAACTAGGAAGTAGAGAGAAGAGAGAAGTTGATCTAGAGAAGTTCACTCTATTTTGTTTGCATTATTATTTTCCTCTTTAATTTATACAGTAGTTCATTTTTTTCTCAACCTCATCCTTGAATCATACACACACATATTCAGAGATTGAGATAGAGATAGGAAAAAAATCATATATATATATATATATATATACACACTATATATATATATATATATATATATATATATATATATATATGAATATATATATATATATATATATATATATATATATATATATATATACATTCTAGAGGCCTGGTGTACAACATTCATGCACTGGGGTGGGGGTGTGCCTCAGCCTGACCTGAGCCCTTTCGCAGGTTTCCACCACTGACACTGTGCTTGCCAGCTGTCATGCTGACACTGACGAACCACCATGGGGCAGCTCATACCTTGAGCATCTGCCCCCTGGTGGTCAGTGTGTATCATGGTGACGGGTGGTTTCACCTTTCAGTTGATTTGCATATTATCCTTTTATTAGATAGATAGATAGATAGATAGATAGATAGATAGACTATCCCCACTGTTAGTCACTTTCAGTAGCATTGGCATCAAATTAAACCATCTTTTCATTTATGCAATGGTGATTACAGATTGTCCTTGATCTGTCATTTTTATAAATACAATTTTTATGATGATTTACCATTTTATTTTGGTAAATAGTATTTGTTGTTTCATTTATGGAGCACAGGCAGAGTAGACTGAGCATTTAAATATGTCTTACCTCAAGGTTGATGGCTCCTGACTGATCAGGGTGGTGTTTGCTAAATGTTGGGGTGACTGGCAATTTCTTTATAGTATTGGTCAAAAATATTTTTTAAATGCAGGGCCCCTCAGGCCCTAATTGTCTTATTTAATGCCATTCATTACAGTTAATCATAAAAGTTAATCATGTTGGTTGGGTAACAACAGCAAACCTTAGAGGTAACTAATTTTGATTTTGTTTTTCATTTTATCAACAAACCTCAGAAATAGCTCTTTTTTATTTTCTTTCTTTTTTGTTGTTGGGGGAGGGGTTCAAATTTAAAAAAATTCCTTTAATTTTACTCTTACAAATATTTCCTTCATCCAGGTCAACTTAACATTTTCCTTTCTTCAAGTGCTTCTTCCTTTTACTTGTCTATGAAGTGCTACTTGTCCTTCTCCATCACTCTTCCAACTGCCAGTGTGCTGCATGTGCTCTCAGCTGTCCCGTGTTCTATTCTGATTCCCATAGTGACCCAGTGAATGTGAATGTCAGTTGGGTTAAAGGGGCAGAGAGCTCTGGCAACTTCCACTTCTCAATTTAGTGAAGGATCTCAACAGACACCTCAGTATTCCAGTAGAGGAAATGAGGTCTTCTTTTCCAGAATGGCTTCTTTTTAGGTGGATAGCTTGGTGACTCAGATGGGAGTGGTGGGGGGCTGGATATGTTCCTAGACATATATATTTTTTTGTCCACAATTTAGTAGAGAGAAAACTAAAATTATATGCCTTGAGTATAATTCAAACATGCTCTCAATAATACCTTTCCTCTAGGTAAAGAGATGCTTATGAATTAATTAAACACTATAAAAACACAAACCAGATTCTGTGTAATGGTGACTATTGTAGGTATATCCCAGAGATAATGCAGGTTTGGTTCCATACCACCACAATAAAGCAAAAATCACATGAAAGTGAGTCACAAAATTATTTTGGTTTCCCCGTGCATATAAAAGTTATGTTTACACCATATTGTGTTCTATTAATTGTGCAATAGAATATGTCTAAAAATACATTTACCTTTATTAAGCATAGGTAATTGCTAAAAATAGCTACCTCTCATCTGAACATTTAACTAGTTGTAATCTTTTAGCTGGTGTCTTACCTCAAGGTTGATGGCTCCTGACTGATCAGGGTGGTGTTTGCTAAATGTTGGGGTGACTGGCAATTTCTTAAAATAAGGCAATAATGAAGTTTGATTTATCAATTGACTCTTCCTTTCATAAATTATTTCTCTCTCTAGCATGCAATGCTGTAGGCATTTTAACATAGCAGAACTTCTTTTAATATTAGAATTAACCCTCTTGAACTCTGCTACTGCTTTATCAACTGGCTGTGTGTAATAATCTCAAATCCTTTATTGTTACTTCAACAATCTTCTCAGCATCTTTACTTCATAGAATCAGGAGTAGATTTGATCTCAAGAAACCACTTTCTTTGCTCATCCATAAGAAACAACTTACCCATTCAAGTTTCATCATGAGAGTGTAGTAGTTCAGGCACATCTTCAGGCTCCACCTCTAATTCTGATTCTTTTGCTCTTTCAAACACTTCTGCAGTCATTTCCTCCACCAAAGTCTTGGATCCCTCAAAATTATCTATGAAGACTGGAATCGGTATCTTTCAAACTACTGTTAGTGTTGATGCCTTGATCCCTTTTCATGAATCATAGGTATTCTTAATGGTACTTATAATATTGAATTCTTTCTAGAAGGTTTTCAACTCTAAGTTTTCCCAGATCCATCAGACAAATCACTATCCCTGGCAACTATACCCTTATGCAATATATTTCTTAAATAACAAGACTTGAAAATCAGAATTATTATGCCTTGATCCATGGACTGCAGAAAGGAGGTGTGTTAGCAGGCATGACAACATTAATCTCAATGTACATTTTCACCAGACCTCTTGAATGGCCAGGTACATTATCAATGAACATTATTATTTTAAAAGGAATCGTTTTTTTTGTTTGTTTGTTTGTTTGTTTTGTTTTTATCAGTAGGTCTCAACAGTGAGCTAATATATATATACATATTATATTTACAGACTATAAAGTAAATAGTATTTGTTGTTTCATTTATGGAGCACAGGCAGAGTAGACTGAGCATTTAAATATATATATTTTATTGATTTTTTACAGAGAGGAAGGGAGAGAGATGGAAAGCTAGAAACATTGATGAGAGAAAAACATCGACCAGCTGCCTCTTGCACACTCCCTACCGGGGATGTGCCCGCAACCAACGTACATGCCCTTGACTGGAATCGAACCTGGGACCTTTCAGTCTGTAGACCGACGCTCTACCACTGAGCCAAACCAGTTTCAGCTAGACTGAGCTTTTAAGAGCCATAGGGTCTTCAGAATGGTGAAAGAGCCTTGGCTTCAACTTAAAGTCACCAACTGCACTAGCCTCTAACAAGAAGGTCAGTTTTCCTTTGAAGCTTTGTAGCCAAGCATAAATGTCTTCTCTCTAGCGATAAGTTCTAAATGGCATCTTCTTCCAATATAAGGCTGTTTTATTTACAATGAAAATCTGTTGCTGGGTATTGTCATCTTCACTGATTATTTAAGCTCAGTCTTCTGTATTACTTGCTGCAGCTTCTATTTGGCACTTGCTTTACTTTGCACTTTGATGTTATGTCGATGGCTTCTTCTCTTAAATCTCATGAACCGGTCTCTGCTAGTTTCAGACGTTCATTCTGCAGCTTCCTTACCTCCTCAGCATTCATAGAATTGTAGAGAGTTAGGGCTTTGCTTTGTATTAGTCTTTGGCTTTAAGTGAATATTATGGTTGGTTTGATCTTGGACCCAAACCACTAAAACTTATAGCAGTGGGATATTTCACTTACTTATTTGTGTGTTCACTGGGTATCACTTTTAGTTTCCTTCAAGAACTTTTCTTTTGCATTAGTAACTTGGCTGAACTTTGGTGCAAGAGACCTGTCTGGGCTTTAAAATTCCTTCCCCACTACACTTAATCATATCTACCTTTTGATTTAAAGTGAGGAGCATGTAATTCTTCCTTTCATTTGACCACTTAAGGATATTAATTGGCATAATTACAATATTTTTGTTTCTCAAGGAATAAGGACCCCAGAAGAGGAAGAGAGATAAGGAAACAGCTGGTTAGTGGATCAGTCAGAACCTACACACTATCATATAAGTTTGCTGTCTTATACTCTTATACACGACTAGAAGCCTGATGCATGAAGATTTGTGCAAGAATGTGCCTTCCTTTCCCTGGTTGCACCACCTTTGCTCTGGCCAAAGCTGCCTTTTCACCTTCCCACACTGCCCAGAGGACTGGAGTGGCTGGGGTGGTGCAGAATGCCTGTGTCCCACCCCACCCCCGGCCACTCGGCGTCTGCATATGTAAATTAACTCAACTTTGTTGGGTTAATTTTCATACTCCTGATTGGCTGATGGGCATCGTGAAGGTATGATCAATTTGCATTTTTGGAGACTATTTTAAGTGCAGGCAAAAACAGTTATTCTCTTAAGTAAATAATATAATACAGAAAATTATGTATAGCATGTGATACCAGTTTTACTTTTAAAAATAATTAAAGTAGAAGGATATCTAGCCAAATGTTAAAACTAGTGGTATCTGGTGGTAATATTTGTCTTATATTTTCCAAAAATGTTAATCATCTATAAATAATTATTCTGTTCAGAAAAAAAAAATAAGATAAAAAATAAATGAGGCTGTGATGATCGTTTGTGAAAGGTAACAAATGTACTGCTATTTGTGAGTCTGGGATAATCTAAATTAAGAGTTTGTAGGCTGGCCGGCATGGCTCAGTGGTTGAGTTTCTACTTACAAACCAGAAGGTGAGGGTTTGATTCCAGGTCAGGGCACATATCTGGGTTTTGGGCTCAATCCCTAGTGTGGGGCATGCAGGAGGCAGCTGATCAATG